GACTCCCGGGCGGAGAGCGGATTTCGCCCTCCGCCCGAGGATGTGCGCGAGTGGCGTGAAGCCGCTCGCCGAGCCACGATGGCTCGTTGGTCGTTCCGGCTGGAGACTCCACGCGCTGGCTTCGCCGCCGTGGAGGCTCTCCAGCCGGTCATCGCCGAGTGGGCAGGGCGGCAGCACGGGACCCTTACCTTCCGGCTGACGCAGGTGCTTTCCGGGCACGGTTGTTTCGGAAAGTACCTGCACTCGCTAGGAGGGAACTGAGTCCCGCCTGCCACCACTGCGACTGCAGTGAGGACTCGGCCCAGCACACGCTGGCGGTCTGCCCCGCATGGGCGACGCAGCGCCGGGCCCTCACTGCAGTCATCGGAGTGGATCTCTCGCTGCCGGCTGTAGTACGCTCCATGGCCGGTAGCGACAGTTGTTTTACCGCGGTCGCAACCTTCTGCGAGGAAGTAATCTCGCAGAAGGAGGCGGCGGAGAAGGCCCGGGAGGACGACCTCCACTCGGACCCGATCCGCCGCCGGCGAACCGGGCGGCGGAGGCGCGCCTATCACCGCCTCATGCCGCCCCGAGTGTGGCCGCGGGTGGAAGGGGTGGGTTTCCCCTCCACCCGCATTAGTTTGGCCAGCCGTGAGGGGGCGGCGTCCGCGTGTGCCGGACTTCGCCTAAAGAGAGGAATATTTTGAGACGGGGCCCGCAACAGGAGCGGGCCGGCGCTAGGAGGGGTCCGGATGTCTTAATAACAGCTGTTCCCGGATCCCTCCTATTACAAGCGCAGAGTGGCACACCGTGTGGTTTTAGTCGGTCCGAGTCTGACACACCACCCCGCCGCAAACCCCGGTGGGGTGACGGTCCGAGGGGATTTCCACACGTTAATAAAAAAAATAAAAAAAAAGATTTTTTTCTAGCTTTTCTTTTCTTTTCAGTGCTGTTGTCCTGCGTAATTTGTTCCCTTAGTCGTCTCTTCGACACCCACGGGATGCATTGGGGTAGTGATACTCCTTATTCTTAATCCATCACCACACGGACAATCGAAAACTTCTGCTGTATATTAATCAAGTAACTTAAAATAAAAAAAAACCGGTCAGGTGCGAGTCGAACTCGTGCGCCGAGGGTTCCGTACCTACCCAGATTTTACGTAGATTTTCGCGAAAATTTGTAAGTAACAAAATTTATCTCAATTTTCAACTTTTTTTATTTTTTGGAATTATTCATTTATTTGTGCTGTAAGACGTTTCTTATTGCCAAATTTCGTGATTCTAGGTCAACGGGAACTACCATATAGATTTTCGACCCAAAACCTTCCTATTGGGTATTTTGGTTAAAAGCAAGGTAGTACTACACAAGTAAAGAGAAAATTCTGAAAAATGAAAAAAAAAAAAATTAAGGTAAATTTTGGTACTTACTAGTTTCCGCAAAAATCGAAATTTGCACCAATCTTTTTATCGTGTTGACTCAGGACCTTTATTTTTATACACCTAATAGGGACCATAAACCTCAGTCTCTGGTATAAATTTCAACTTGCCAAGTGTACCCGTTCCTGAGAAAATCGTTGGTGACACACGGACAGACGGACAAGAAAGTGATCTTATAACGGTTCCTTTTTTACCTTTTGAGGTACGGAACCCTAAAACAAAGAGCAACGTTTATTAAAGAATTCAAACTGAATCCAAATGTTCTTGAATCTTTTTGTGACGCAGAGTCGGCAGATTATCCATGTTGCAAAATAATAATGTGTGTAGCAGTCTTAAGAAAGATAACACGTACAAACATGCTTTCACGTCAGTCACTGCCGGCGGACAGTAGGGATGTTAAAAAATAATCGATTTTTATTGAAATCGATTATTATTTTCTTATAATCGATTTTTTATTCTCGATTTTTATAGTAATGATAATCGATTTTTAGTAAATCGATTATATAAATTACGTGTTTAAATCGATTTTCAGAAACAGCTCGCATCTATGCGACGAATGAAAAAATCTTGCAGTATGTTTCAATTTTAAAAACAGCGCCATCTATGCGTTGGATCAAAAATCTCTGCTCCGTCCGAAAGATTATTTTCCAAAGCGGGAAATGTGGTCAGGAAAACACGAAACCGTATTTTAGGAAAGAGACTATCAAAATTATTGTTTTTAAACTGCTTACTTACCTGAAAAGTTATGGTAATAATTATTTTAAATTTTATTATTGTTTAATCCTAGTCAAATGTAAAATAGGACTGCACATTTGTGGAAATAATTATTTTTAATTTTATTATTGTTTAAACTTGCAGATTAACGAAAGATTGTTTTTTATTTTAGTTTTAGAGACCATAACGTAGTTGTTCAGGATTGATAATGATCCTTTTAAGTATTTTATTTTAATACTAGTCAAATGTAAAATAGGACTGCATGGACATTTGTGACAATAATTATTATTTAAACTTAAAGATTAACGAATGATTTGTAATTTAGTTTAGTTTTTGAGACTATAGAGTAACCAAAGCCAAAACCTCCTTTCTAAGGAGAGGCCTACGTCCAGCAGTGGACTATCAAAGACTGTTGATGAAGAGTAGTCGTTTAGTTTTTTAATTCTCATTTTAAGTGTTTTATTTTAAAACTAGTCAAATAAAAAATTCTCATCATTTCATTTTTATTATAATAAATAAAACGTTTCATAGTACTAAAATGAGTATCAATAATGCTATTTAGTTTCCTAATTCCCTACTTTGAAATTTTTCGAATAGGTTATTTTTTTATTCATAAAATTTTATTTTATTTTTAATCTGATAAATAGTTAATATGAATCTCTTAGGTTTATTATTGGAATGTGGAAAGCATATACTTTTAAATAATACAAAAAAATCGATTATTTATTTTTATTAAAATCGATTTTTGGCAAATCGATTAATTTTTAATATAGAAAAATCGATTTTTATTTAATCGATTCTTTTCCATTAATCTCACATCCCTAGCGGACAGCGACACACTAGCTAATAGCTTACCCCCACCCCGCGTCCCGCAAACCATCGGGAGGGCCAAGCTTGCGGCGGTTTGACTATAGGTGTCCAAATAACATGTTTTACATGGACATCAGAAAATTACGACAATTGAACAGTTGGCTCAGTGTTGAATAGATTTATCTGTGACTGCAAGAAGTCTGAAGAAGCTGAGGAAAGTCTATTACCAGGTTTCAAGAACTTTCTTTCTAAGGTACTGAACACTCCGGACAAGTAAAGCAGAAGGCGGAGGGCCTTGGCAAGTTCTTCCCTTTCGAGAGGCACATGATGAAAACGTCGAGCCAGCGTCTTAGTCCTGCATCTCAGATAAAAAAAATACTTTTTTTATTTGATAGTCAAACTAGCATCGTGAATATTATTATTTGAGGGGAACGTTTACCGTTCACTCATTTATTAAGATTTATGATTACATGCATATTCTAATCCTCTATGAGTTTTTATGTGTCAAGTAGCAGTAGAAGCTGGACACCACATACCAAAAAGATATGAACCTCCTTGGTTTGTGATGCTCTTATTGCAAATTACGAACTTTTTCTAACGTAGTCTTTAAAATATATTTGAAATTTAATATTAGGTACAATCTAAAAGTATATAAAAGTAGGCGTAATACGAGGAAAGACAAAATGTCTTTATATTATTTTGCAGTTGTATAGCAGTAATGAAAACTTATTTAAAATTAAACTTGAGACGTACAACGCTGTGTTCGTTATTTGAATTTACCGCTAATTATATAATGTTGCAACTTCAGAGTCTATTAGATATGATGTTCAAAATACAAAATTTCTAAAAATAAAACGAATTGTTAAAAAAACCTTTTGAAATAATTAAAAATTTACAGTTATTTAACATAAAATATACTTAGAATAAATAACTCGTTTCAATACTTATTAAATTACTTATCAGCAAGTAATGTTGCTATACTAATATTTTTCCTTGTATCTAAGATAATTGGTTGAAAGCGAACTTTGTGACAAGAATAAAATTTCAACTTGCCATTTTTTTATAATTATAACTTCTACCCTAGGAATAGATGCTATGTCACAAGGGACTTTGCACACATTTATGAAACGAACACCCAGACTCAGAACAACAATTTGTGGATCAAACAAAGTGTTGTCCCATGTGAGTATCGAACTCATAACATTCAGGGTAGCAAGAAGCGGTGCTGTCACCGTCACTAATTCATCCGGACAGTCGTTATTAGCCATATTTCATTAATAGCATACGATCCCAGTCAGATACATTAAAAACAGTGGTACAATGGTTGAGCTTATAGTAGTTTTACTCTCTGTCTCTTCCATTCCATTCTATTTTACTCTATCATTCTTGAGTTCACTACTTACTCCCAAGCCACATCGTTTAGCGCAGTCCATACAACGTTTCTTTGATTGGCCTGTACTCTTACATCTGCCTACTTTCATACATAAAACTTTATTCAGTACATTTAGCTCCTCTCTACGCATCACACGCCAGTACTGGATTTATGTATTGTATGTATGTTTTCTATTAGTTTTCATTTTTAACATAATAAAAAAAAATGTGCAAAGTCAAGGTCCAAAGAATAATAATTTTAGAGCATTTAAAGAATAAAAACGTAAGTAAAAAGAAACAAAGTACATTAGTTCCTATATTTTAAATTAAAATTGTGTAATCTAAGTATATTTGATCAAAGGTGAGCAAGATGTTTCCATCACAACGTTATTATATTCAATAAGAGAAATAGGGAAATCGTAACAACAGTATGGCAACATTTATACCTAGTGTCCGAACGTAGCCGAACACTACTCTATTGAATCCCGAGCATAGCCGAACGTATGATTAGGTCACGTGGTACTTTTGGAGTCTTCGTGGCGTAGCTTGTTCAGCTGCTCGTCGAAGCGGCTGTCGGACGGTCGCCTCTCAGCGAGTCTGTGTACGATGTAGCGGCCATTTTTGTTCTTAGTTCATAATAGCGTGCGCATATTTTAATGTATTTCGAAGGACATTTAGGCAATTTTCACGATGACTATTATAGTTTTCTTAATAGATACTTCAGCTTCTATGACCCAAAGAGCTTATTTGGGCGGACGCCCAACGTTGCTCGATGTAGCCAAGGGCGCTGTGGAAACGTTCGTAAAGGTACGTGCAGTGTCATCGACTCGTCAACCGCCTCGTTTTTTGTGATCGATTTGTTTATCGCGTGTTAGTGTGTTGGACTGATTCATTTTATTGCTTAGGTTCGTCAACGGTCGCCTGAAAGCAGAGGCGACAGGTATATGCTTCTAACTTTCGAAGAACCACCCGCGAATATCAAGGTTAGTATATCAGAGTGAACACGTTAGTGACAGTTTTCTGGTGATTTGTGCATAAGTGAGTGAATTAACGGCGGTTGTTCAGTGTCTAAATGTCAAGCACTGTAATCTACAAACCAGAACATGTACATACTTTAAAAGTGCGAAATTTACTGAAATAGACAGCACGACGTAAACAGGACGAACCGCCGCCGTTGCTGCCTTCGCGATAGCGGATAGCGCTCGCTACTGCGCTCTCGTCGCACACTCTCATTGGCCGACGCTGCCATTATACGAAATGGCGATGCGGGGGGAAATTTAAAAAGATTCCCACTACACCACTAATGCATTTCTTATTAGTTTGACTTTTGTTAAATTGTTTATCAATCACATGTGTGTGATGTGGTGATGATCAATTAAAAATGCTTGGCACCATGTGAACATCAATTTAGCCTTTATTTGAAATTACTCTAATGTTAATTATTTTATTTCAGGCTGGTTGGAAGGAAAATCTAGCAACATTTATGAATGAGCTTAAGAATTTGCAATGTCTGGGATTTACAACAATTGGTGCTGCATTAAAGCATGCCTTTGATGTACTGAATATAAACCGCATGCAGACTGGTATTGATACCTATGGACAAGGGAGATGTCCATTCTACCTTGAACCATCTGTAATTGTTGTTATTACTGATGGAGGAAAATTAACAAGTATTGCTGGTATCCAGGAAGAAGTGAGTAACTTGCATTTAATAATAAAAATTAAGTTTCTTTATCATCAATTCAGTAAGTAGGACAGTCCACATGATATAGACTTGTTTAAAATGATTTCTGCTATTTGTGTAGTTAAGTGTATGTATAATACTTTGTAAGTTTTGTTTATTTATAACCCTAAATTAATTTTATAATGATATGGCTCAGACCCTCTCGCATTATGAGACAAAATTGGATTCTAGAATAAATATCATCTTGTGAAGCTAGTTCAAGATTTTGGTTGCCATTAGTAAAGTGCTTGAGGTGTCAGTGATAATACTTGCCATAGAACCTCATATAGGTAAATTTATGATACTCATTTAAACTTGTACGTAAAAAATAATAGGCCCTGTAGGTAGGTTATCAAATATTTTCCTATAAATAAAATCGTGTAATTAAATAGGTAGTACATATACTTTAACACTTGCAATCTATAAATTAAGTTAATAATAAGATGTATGAAATTCAATAAATGTGTATGATGACTCATAGCCGATATTAAAATCTAACATCATAGTACCATAAAGCAATAACTATAACACATCACATCAAAAGGATCCAAATATTTAGTTATCTTGTGTTTTAGGTATTATGATTATTTTAATTTAAATACATGACAATGGTTAAATGATATTCTTTTAAGTGAGGCCTATGTTATTTTTTTGATAATGCTAAGGCATTTTAACAAACTGTTAAAGTGAGGAATAAAATGGTGTAGAGCATAAAATAACTGTGCTCTTCATCTCCAGACATTATCTTCTCTTTTATCACTCTGAAGTTTTGATGTCAATTCAATAGAGTGGCTTTTATTTATCATAGTTCAATGTTTTAGTTAGTCAAAAGATTTTCATCAAATGTGAGTTCTGGAAAGTAAAAATTTCGAAATATACCAAATAAAATTAATTATTATTATAAAGAATGTGTTGAACACTAGATGGTTGTAGTCGTAAGGCTTTCAATGGTCTCAGCAGTGAAAGCCTTGCGATGGCTATAGGTTTGTTATAGGGCAGCAGTGGATGTTAGTCTGTCTGGGATCACTAGACAATTATAGGCTAAAATGGCATTTTACTTTACACTTTATATTGTCCAAAATGGCATTTTACTTTACACCATTGTCCTGTTGGTCTAGTGGTTAGTGACCCTGACTGCTACGCCAGAGGTCGTGGGTTTGATTCCCACCCAGGACAAATAATTGTGTGATAAGCATGGTCATTTGTTCTGTGTCTGGGTGTAATTTACCCATAATATGTATGCATTTAGGATTAAAAAAGTATGTTTATCAGCAGTCTTGTTACCATAGCCCAGGCTCTATCTAGTTTGGCATCAGATGGCTGTGTGTAAGATGTGTGAAAATATTATTATTATCTTCATGTCACTCTTAACCCGCTTGTTTTGACCTACCAGTTTCATTTGGCTCTACTTGTCTGAACTTGTCTCTACTTATCAAAATTTGTCTCTACCTAGTTTCTAAAATAAAAAACCTAAGTTTAGTTTACGCCTTAAGTACTCAACCGATCGTCATTAAATTTCGAATTCACATATTCAGGGGTACAAAAAGAACATGTTTACAAAAAAAACTAATGTGCCCAATGTATAGTGAATTAATTGACAAAATCTATATTCACGCGATTGAAGCCACAGGCGAAAGCTAGTGAATACTAAATAACTAAGTTAATTAATTTAATTCTTCTTTAATCTTTAAATCTATAATAATTTCTTTTTGAGATTGTAGTACTAAATGATAACTAACAAATAAGAGAAAACTATATCCTATTTATGTTTTCTTATAAAGGTAATCTTCGTAATTATAAGGATCCAAATGACATTTAGTTTTTATTGATCTTCCCCAAACTCTCAAATGCAATAAAATTCGAAAATATCTAATAGAAAATTTATCTACAATTAATTTTAAACTATATGTACCTAACTTATTCAAAAGATTTATTGAACGAGATAACGTTACCCACCTTAACATACCTACAAATATAACTATATAAGAAATGATTGTTAATTTACTTATAATACTTTGAAGTAATGGCGTTTTAAAAAAAGTTCCCGCCAAGAATGCGCTATATCTTTAGTAGGCTTTAAATTATAGTAAATATAAGATATAGAAATTTAGAATATAGAAGGCCAAAACCTCGTTTCTAAGGAGAGGCCTATGTCCAGCTGTGGACTAGTAAAGGCTGTTGATGCTGATGAAATTATAGCAGTACAGATTAATAACAGAGATTTAAGCGTTGTATAGTCTATTAAAACTTTAACACAAATAAAATCTTTTTATATATACCCTAAGTTGGTAATACTAAAGAATTTTTAAAGAGCTTTGTTCTTTAAAAACTTTTCAGACGTCGTAATTCATATCTATGTTGACTACACATAAAATTGGTGGTTCAATTAAATTCCTTGCGCCTTGTATTCTAATTTTGAAAAATAGAACGCAGATTGTAGGGTGTACGTACCACGCGATTTGCACCATACGCCGTAGGTACGCTCAGTTAAAATGAGCGGTGAAACACTGCAATCAGTACTTACTGTAAGTTAACGCAGAGCGCAGACTGCGTTAACTTACAGTAAGTTTCTATCGTTTACGTGACAGTGAAAAACAACAAATACCTACTTTTTCTAATAGAAATATAATGTCTAGTACATTATATTGCCGCTCGTATAAAATTTATTTGGTCTATCCCTTGAAAACTGCATACCTTTTTTCGATTTAAGGTATCGTTTCCTGTACTCCTGTAGTTTATGCAGCATTTCATAATGATCAATTTACTTATAATTTAACACACACTCATTTTCGCATTTACTAGGAGTTAAATGATCAAAACCCGTGCTACTCACCAATATCAAGTTTAATGTTCACACCTGACTTTCCTACCAAATTTAAGTGGGCCAAGCTTAATGAAAGAACTCTTTCCAGCGAATCCTGCTAGACAAAACAAACCGCGTACCTTAATCATAAACAATGAATGTCATTTATAAAAATAAATAGGCAAGTTATGAGAGGACGGACTCGGCATACGTTTCGTAAATTATTTGAACATGTATGTAGATATAGGCTCGTATTATTTGTAACAAGTCTAACAAAGACTGAAGGTTGTTACAAATAAGCATTGCAACCAACCAACCAAAATTATTCAATGCAGGTATTTAGCAGATGTTAATATAAATAATTATATAATGTGTTGCAGTTCAATTTGCCGATGAACTGCCCTATACCAGGCTCTGAGTTAACTCGTGAGCCTTTTCGATGGGACCAAAGACTATTTTCACTGGTGCTGAGACTCGCAGGGACGCCTGCTGCGGAGAGGGACACTGGCCTCGTGCCCTCTGACTCGTCGCCTATCGATGCAATGTGCGAAGTGACTGGTGGTAAGTAAACATTTACCCTAATCTCGAACTAACTTTAGATGTTAAGCTTAAATATGTAATTTTATCAGCAACTGATGTTGCCTTGATTGAAATGATTCTCATTATGCTGCTGATGCTTATTCTCATCCACAGAAATCCATCTGCCTTTTAATAAAATTCCCTACTAAAATTATTATTATATATCTATATATTTTGTCAAAAAACCGTCCGTTTCTGTTAAAAACATAGTTTATAGACTTTATAACATTATAACGTGACTTATGGGAGCGTTGCAGTCACCATAGATTTGAATGACGTTGCAGGACACGGCTAGTTGAATATATTGTATTAAACCTTTCGTACAAATAAACGGCTTTTTAGTTTCAAAGCGATGGTCGTTTCTCGTCAAGAATAAACATAAATAGGCATTAATGACATTACAAATATTTTGAATTCTTAACTAAGATAAATTGTCAGATGTCAAGGATTAGTCTTGAGCTTTTGCAAATTAGTTATACATTAGGGTTGAGTAAGAGTTTAAGTTAAATAATAATTACAAGCTAAATATACGACTTAAACGGATGTAGAAATTTCATATTAACAGGGGATAGTGAGCCCTTTAGAAAACAGGTCTGACTAGTTTTTGTGTTGTTCGTTTAGTGTCAAGGTATGTATAATGCTGTTTATATTTCATGTTCTACAAGCGAGCATGCAATTATTGTTTGAGTATTCACGTGATTATGAGCATAACTTAAAATACATAAATAGACTTGCCCCAATACAAAGTACTCTGCAGTTATGTTTATAATATTATTATAAAATTGACGACTCCCCTTTTCAAAAGCGCTATGATATGAAGATTTTGTGAGTCACCTAGTTCATTTCCCTTATCTTTATTATCATAATAATAACCTTCCTTCCCTATCCCCAATATTGTTTGACGTCGGCGCAATATGTAACATTGCAAAAGGTTTTGGCTGGTTTGTCATATTTTGGAACCTTGGACCCTTTTTTGGAATGTTATCATTTTGAAATAGGAAAATGAGAAATGGCGGCAAACAGGACAAGGGGATTAGGATAAGAAATAGGTACCGGAAATTTTGGATGGGAAATGAGACTGAGACCAATTGCGTCCGGTACGCGGCCCCTTGCCCGTCGCACAATTGGTCTCAGTCTCATTGCACTAACATAACCATCTTTCGATTAGAAAGGCGACAGGCTAACTGGAAAGTATTAACATTTGAGCCTTTTTATACAACTTGCAATCTTACGTTTTTCAGGTCGTTCATACTGCATTACATCGCACCGCATGTTGATGCAGTGCATTGATAGTCTAGTGCAGAAAGTGCAGAGCGGTGTAGTGATTAACTTTGAAAAAATTGGCCCCGATCCACCGCCTATCGACGGCGCTAATAACAAAGATGGAAGCGAACTAGACGACAATAATCATGAAGGTGAAAAGGAAGTTGATGGTGACGGTGATAGGAACGGAGTAAGTTATAGTCAGTTTTATTGTTAATATGTGAAGAAATCTTACCCGGCTAATATCTATAAAATAAGATCGTCAATTAAACACTCTTCAGGTCACGCATGTACATATAGTAAAAGGTCAATTATTTCGAAAGAGACACAAGTGTTGTGTAATTAGTTTCAACACTTAACAATGGATGAATTTTTAGATGTTTTCACCATATTTTACTTACCAGATAATTATTAAGTTTTGAAAAATTTATAGAATTTGATAATTTCAAATTCTATTAAAATCCTGAAAAAATCCTAAATCATTTCTTCTTTTAATATATTCTTAGAATAGAATATGATTTATTGTTTAATTGCAAACCAATTACAATAAAATATATGGGTATTACATATTTTGTTAAATTAATTTTACATTGCGAAAATAAAGAAACAGTTTTGGTCAGTTTAAACTTATTGTTGCCAACTAAAACTTTTTTAGAAACATAGTAAATATTTCGAAAGAAATCATATTAGTAACCACAAAAACGTTCACTGTTTATTCTAAAAAATATGATAGGATATTTTATACCTATGTAAAGAAATTTACGTAACATGACGTGCACTCGTATCGATAGTGTTTCGACTGCACGGATGGCGTGGGACTTCCTACTACGTCGAGTGTTCAAACCCCACATGGGACGACATTTTGTGTGGTCCACAAATTGTTGTTCTGAGTCTGGGTGTTCTTTGTGTCCGTTTCATGCGTTTCTAAAGTCCCCCTCGACACAGGATATATTCCTTATGCGGGAGTTGTCTTTTAAAAAGAAAGAATACAACCATTTTTTCAAGTTCACGATCATAGCTTGTATTTATTTATTTACGCTAATGTTTTTCATAATTAGTATAACTTAGTTTAGGTGCCAATGTGAAACCAATATGTTATACCTACTTGTTAATACGACATTACTAACATATTTTACCTTTTTGATTTGACAGCGTTGGAACAGCGGACAGTATCAAAACCAGATCCAAGGCCCCAGCGCCCCGCAGGCGTGGCATTCGTGTCGAAGGCTCATCTACGTTCCGCGGACGGTCGCGCAGAAAGGCTTCGCTGTCGGCTTCTGGCCGATACCCGAGTCTTTCCGATCGGACCCTACCGCGCAAACATTGGTATGCCTTTAATTTTTTTTTCACTTTGTTTATTTATATGTATATAAGCGCAAGCAAATTTGATATTTCTGTGCTTACGGAGTTGAAGAAGTACGCCCACACTTGCAGACGAAACTATGATAGAACAATAAATTAAGTTGAACCTGAAGATTTAGAATTTTTGTCTGGTATAGGAATTTAGCCTGTGTGTTTCTTGATCCTTTACATGAATGGAGGACAAATTAACACTGCTACTGTGTTTACCAATGAAGTGAAAACTGCTCTTTATTTTAGTTAACCCCAACTTGGTAATTTAAAAAAAATCATAAAACACCTTTTTCCTATTCATTTGGCATGTTATTGAATATTGGAAGCTTTTGTCAGTCATATCTGAGTTTAATTATGATACACGGTAAATATGGTGAACAGGATAATTTTTTGCTACAATTTCTCGTCACAGTTTGTAGGTATAAAGATGGCATATTTATGTTTAAATGGTACGTGAAATAAAATCTTCCTGCATAATGTTTATTTCTAGGATGTCCATGTACATCCTCCGTTTTGTACATTTAGATTCATCTTAAATTGGAAAGACACACTTTTAGTTTATACTTCAAGAATTATACGTGAATATTTTTATTTTTGTTTATAATAAAGGAATAATTCGTTGGAATATTTATAAATGTAGACTGACACCTTTTTCATAAATATTCATTAAAACCATGCAGTGCTCACTGGTGCGCTTACTTCTCTAAAGGTAATTTGTATGCATAATGCCAAACTGACTAATGTAGGAAAGACCGATACCCCGAGGTAGCGTTAATGTTATCAGTTGTGGGTTTCCTTGTGGTAATATCCTCTAATAAATTGTGCAAATGATTGTGTTTTAAAACATTTTTGACTAAGGAGTCGATTTTGTATGTCAGTGTTTGTTTATTTGACGCATATAACCGATAGTTATGGGGTTCTCCTTTATCGCCTAAAACATAACCTAACTATAATAATACCTACTAATACCTGGCTTTGTCAGCTAGGATTGATCGCGCAAAAAAGAGTCTATTCACGTTTTAGACCTTAAGATTGAATATTTTATTTTAGCTTTAATAATATAGTGTCTCCCGAGCCCTTCTGAGCTTTAGGTACCTACTATATTCCAGAGTGGTTATTTTTATAAACTTACAAGACTCAAATGAAATGAAAACAATTCTTATATATTTCTAAATACTTACATAATGATAGATAAATTACACCCAGACACGGAACAAATTACCATGCTCATCACACAATATTTGTCTTTGGTGTGAATAGAAACCCACGACCTCCGGCTTAGCAGTCAATATCACTAACGACTAGCCTAACAGGCCCGTCAAATCTGAAATGCATGTGAAAATAAATTCTCTAATATCTTTTTTATACTGCGATTGTTTTACGTATTTAGCTACGTACATATGTAAGTCTTGTACCGACTTATACCTTGCGATTTCACTTACGACACTTAAGTCTTAAGGTACGATACTTAAGAACTTAGTGTGGGATTACGTTTTAATATGTCGTCGTTTATGCATCTTATACCTGACCTGGCTTTCTTAGATTTTCTGGATAAGATTTCTTAACTTTGCAATGTGCTAAGTGGTAGGTTACTCACGGTTACCACTCAGCCACAAGCCCCTATACACATATAAATAATATAATAATATGATAAATATTTTTTCAGCCACCTCGTTCTGCTCATCCAGTTGTGAAGTTCACTTGTTCAAGCCAGGAGCCTATGGTGATTGACAACCTGCCATTTGACAAGTACGAATTGGAGCCTAGTCCGCTCACGCAGTTCATATTGGCGAGGAAACAGCCTACTGTCTGTTGGCAGGTATGTATACATATAAGAAACCTTTTAGATTAAGATAAATTGTAAAAAAAAAACTTTTATTTGTGATGTGTTTGTACTTGCTTGTTATGACAATCTTATTTAATTCTTTTGCTTTATACTTTTCATCAGTTTTATAAATGTTTGATTTTAAATCCAAAAAGTTAAAAAAATTGCACACCTTCAAAAAAATCACTCATCGGTGCTTTTGATGTGTGAAAAGTTTAAACCACTTTGTTTTAAGTGGAAGCAAGGAGGTTAATTACAAAAAAAAATACCTGGCGTTAAAGAACCTACTCTTTGGTACAAACAAAAATAAGGTCGAGTCCACTCATTAGGTACTTTGAAATTTACGACACTTTTAAGTTTGACTAAAACTTGTTTTCTAGTGATAAATATCAGTAGGGCTCTTAAGTATTGGTTTCATCTTTACCTTTTGATCAAGGGGCTTGGAATAAGATTATGAAATAAAATATTAATTAATTAATTTTGGCTGTATTAATTCAAAATACATTTGTATTTGTATTTTCAATATAATCGAAATGGAAGCATTTTCACTATTTTTAAAAAATATCTATTGTTTGAATAAAATGCCCAATTTAGCTTTGCCTAAGAACCTGAATACCTACTTACTACTAATATGTATTTATTTCTTTTTACTGCAAACTGTTTGTATACTCAATTTTACAAACATTAAAATAAATTGTCCATACTTGTCCAGTCGTTTCCGAGTTAATAACATTTCATTTTTATTTATTTATATTTAATTGATTGTTTGCAAATTTATGTTTTCAGGTTTTTGTTGCCAACAGTGGTTGCAAGAACTCCGAGATTAGTCATCCATTTGGCTATTTAAAAGCATCTACAAACTTGACATGTGTGAACTTGTTTGTATTGCCGTACAACTACCCTATGTTGCTGCCTCTTCTTGATGACTTGTTTAAAGTGCACCGCTGCAAACCTACTCCGGAATGGAAGCTAGCTTTTCAACATTATCTTGACAGAATGCCTTCTTATTATGTTGCGGTAAGTAGGACAACAAACTTATTCTTACTTATTGTTATTTAGATTGGATGTTCTAAACTAGTAAAATATAAAATTATATGCTACTAGAAATATTCATATTTTCTTGCACCAAAGATTTATAAGCATTTAAGCTTTAAAAACTGATTTAAAGCAATAATGTACACATGAAAATAAAAACTCATCAATAACAACAAATATTTAATTTTATTACAGCCTCTTCGCAGAGCCTTAACAAAAATGGGTGCATCTGCTCAATTGCTTCAAAGTTTGGTACCTGACTCTCAAGACAATTCACTTAGTTTCTCTGTACTGAACTATTTGAAAAGACTGAAAAATCAAGCCAAGGTAGAATTTGAGAAACTATGTGCTGACGTTATCAATAAATCTGCCAGTAACAACAACCAAAAGGTAATTGTTTGCTATTAAGATAATGTTAACATTGTTGCACTTACGATTCTTTTAGATATATTTTTGTATTTAGTCATTGAATACACTCGTCGCGCGGCTTTACTGCCGCTAAATTGGTCAATCTATTAAAATATCCATTCCATTAACCTTTTTGGATTTTAATATTCAGAGGTACATAAGTTTTTGGCATAAACTGCAATATATAATTTAAAAAAAATGCATTATTAAGTTTTCTTATTACTATTTTCTAGTGTCTGAAATTTTTCGGTTAAAGTTGTTCAACTGATGTACACCGAAATAGTCCAAGCAGTTCGAGTCTTGTCAGTTTGATGGTTTGTCATTATAATGTTCTGCAATTTATAAAATATTTTTCAGGGTTCCGAGAGTGTTCGAGTAATGTCGCGGTCCCCTCTACGAAAAGATCTTACGACTCATCCATGTCTTCAAGGCAAGTTTTCGGCGCTTCGAGATCAGTTGAATGAATTTGGCGGCTTCATTGTAGCATTGTCGCGAGACAGGCATAAGGCACAAGCTCACACCTATCGAAACCCTTTCGATATACAAAGGAGAGATCTCCTGGATCAGGTGAGAGAAGGAATCTCTTACACCCACTATTAAGCATACTTTTTATTATAAAATAACACAATCTATACTTAAAATTATAAAGCTGAAGAGTTTGTTTGTTTGTTTATTTGAACACGCTAACCTCAGCAACTACTGGTCCGATTTGAAAAAATCTTTCAATGATAGATAGCCCATTTATCGAGGAAGGCTATAGGCTATATATCATCACGCTAAGATCAATAGGAGCGGAGCACCAATAAAGAATGTTACAAAAACAGGGAAAGTTTATTCCTTTTAAAAGATGCAGAGAAGTTGCGAGAATCAGCTAGTTGTATTACACATACCAAGAACAAACCACTAACATTTTTGTACAATGCGATAATTTAAGTCAGTAAAAGTTATACAAGCTATTAGGGAAACGCTTCCGACTAGACGATATAAAATAATAAAGTTTTATTAGCGTTTTTCGGTTTCAACAAACATGAAATTATATTTCGTAAGCCACTCTTGCATTACCTTTTTTGTAGAAGTCATTGTAGATTTATTTGCAGTGGTTCACAACATTTGTATGACTGACGTAATTATTAAGAATATTAGGGATTAGTTGTTCTTTATTTCTCAAAATTGTCTGAGTTTATGTCTTAAGTGCTCGCACTCCTAGACACAAGTTTCCGCCAACGGCGACTCATCCGTCACTCTCACTGTTTTTCGTCCCCACGTCGCATTCATTATAATCTTTATTTAAAGTAGTATAGCAAGTTTGCATTGACTGATAATTAAATAATGAGTATGAGCTATTTACAAGTCAAAGCTGTTTCATTTTTTTTCTGTTGTACACACTAAAATTCGTCACTTAATATCAAGTTATCATAGTGAGAACTTTTATAGTATTCTTTATTGTGTCTAATTTACATTTCACATTTACTTAGTGTTCTTATTATGGATTGTAATGGTTGTAATTGTGATAGTAATATTTCATGGCTTAATTATTCATGATTATTGTTGCAGGCGGTGCGTATGCGCGCAAATTTTCTTCAACCCTCTCTCGCCCACACGCGGTTGGTGGACGAAGACAGCGTGCATTCAATGGCTGTAGCACAAATGGGCAATTATCAGGAGTACTTAAAACGAATGACGCCTCTACTTCGCGAGATAGAGTCCCAGCCGGTTAGGCAACACATGTTCGGCAACCCGTTCAAGATAGACAAGGTCGGTTTATTTTTAAATAAAACTGCTTTCGAACTTATTTTAACATACATACTTCCATATATTGAAGTTCCTCCACATGCATAGAAGTGTCAATACTGATCTTACTTATTTTGCAGCGAATGATGGTCGACGAGGCGGACCTAGACCCGGTGGGAGCAGTGCGGAGCGGCGGAGGGGGTGCGGGCGGTAAGCGCGGGGCGGAGGCGACCCGCGCCGGGCCTCCGAAACGCAAAGCCGGCCCTCTGCCGCACCACATCGTCGCCCGCCGGCCTTCCGAGCCCCCCGACTCTCCGCTCTCGCCGCCCGCGTCCCCCGCGCCCGCGCCCTCCCCGGCCGCCAGCCCGCTGCCCGCGCCGCCCGCCCCGCCCGCGCCGCTGGCCCCGCTGTCGCCCGTGTCACCCGTAGCTTCGCGCCGGCCCGCCTCGCCCCTGTCGCCCGCTCCCACGGATCTACCGTCAGGACGACCGCCTGAGGTTTGTACGCTGACTCTTTTAGGGCCGATTTTCCTCTACGAAGATAAGACTAATATAAATAAATAAATTATTAACACTGTCTTATATTTAGTTCTATGTTTAACGGGTCATCTATTTCATGGATTTATCTGGTCGAATAATGCAAATCTTGGGGTCGAAAAAGGTCGAAAAAATATCTTTTCTTTCGGACAGATTTCAATATTTTCAATAGACAGCGCATAAACTACTATCAAAAAATATATTTCAACAAAATTATGTTAAAATATATTAACTAAACTGATTTTTCACATAAAATACTGTCAACAAAAGTCACATATTTTTTTATTGATCATTAATAGGGGAATAATTGCGATCAATAGGTAGATACACACAGACAGGGCAACGGTAGTCAACCTGGTCTTAAAGTCATTTAATTTCAAAAGTAACTAATAATTGTAAGTTAAATGAACTTTCGGATAAGTGGTTATCTGCCGAGGAACGGATTGCAATTTTATTCTATAGTTGAGGGGGTTTGTGACTTTTGAAAAATTCAGTTTTATGCTATTTTTAAATAAATATCCGATTGTTTATCTCTTGTTCTGATTGTTGAAAAATCGGCTTTCAATCGCTGTAACGAATTTATCGTCTTTTAGTTTAATATTTTAGTTGTAAACATCAATGTTATGCCTTTACTGTATCGCAGGAGCCGCCGAATGTGGAGAGCGTGGGCCCGGCGAGCCCCGCGCCGTCACCGCCCCCCTCCCCCTCCCCCTCCCCGCCTGCGCTTGCGCCCCCCAACCTGCCGCCCGTCGTCAAACCATTCCTGAACGGAGGTCAGTCGCTCTCTATTACCTTTTCGTTACCTACTCGGTATATTGAGAACGCTTTCAAACTTACACACTTGTTTCCGTGTACATTGACCTTTAAACGTTTGATTACGAATGTTTTAGTATCTTACGTTTAAATAAAATTAGGTATATTAGTGACACTAATTTTTCATAATAAAATCTATTTACTCGATTGCTTGAAATCAACAATGTTTTTGCTAATATAAATAAGAAAAGGGAATAATCAGCCCTAGTATCACATAGTCAAGAATTGAAGGCAGATGTTTATGAGGCTGTCGATGATAGTGACTATCGGAAGCTGTCACGAATAAATATTTCATTTCATTTATTTATTCAATTTTGTGATAAAGATGTCAATATGTATAGTATATCCGCCATAGTATATCATATGGTATATAGTATGCCTTTTCTTTAATTTATAGTAAATAAACCATAGATGTCTTACGTTTTCTTTCAAGCTCCAAGCTAGGTTTTAATAATAAGGGTGATTCGTATCCAGACATGGTAACCTGAGCTGTTACCAGGTTTTGAGCTTCAATTTAAACTTATTTTTGTATTAATTAATGTGCAGATGCCTACACGACAATGGGCAGTAAAATGTCGCGGTCGCCGTCTCCGCCCGGCGAGTTGATTCCCGTCGCGCACGACTCGCAGGAGCTGCAGATCAACGCCATATTGCAGGGGGTCGCCGCTGAGAATAATTCTAATGCACGAGGCAGGAAACGGAAACGAAAGGTATGATGCGAACACGACGATATATAGGTATCATAACAAAATAGAACAAAAAGTACAGAATCCTTTGCAATCCTTAGCATTAAAATTCTTCATCACTGTGACAAATCGTATTGAAATATAACAGCAATTCTCTATCATCATCATTATGGGTTTGGTAAAATAACTACTGAACTTCTTTGCCTGAGAAGGGTCCCTTTCAATGATCCCATAGCGTTGCCCATCATTTATGTATTGTTTATGAATACAAATGCCAAACCTATGCGTCTAGGCTCATAGTATTGTTTGTGAATAAGAGAGTAAGCTTTGACTCAAATGGTTTGCCGGATTTATATAGATACATACATAAAAACTGTGTTATTAACACACATGAATACCGCGCTGAAATCTTTACCAATCGCACAAGGCCCTCAGAAGAAGTAACTCACAGCAAAAAATACATTGCGATATTTGTAGTTTTCTAATAATATAGAGAAAGAAACCTGTGTGTTGAAATGTATCATTTTTGGTTTTACGAAAAAATAATTACGATAGGAAATCAAATTTAATTCAATGAATGTCGTTAGTATAACATTTTCTTATAGAATACTTAAGCGTTTTACTTTTTAACTTTTGCTTCTTATGGTTCTTGCTCCTTTTTTAGACGTGAAAGCATAATGTAAAAGAACAGAACACTTATATGATCACTTTGTTGTTTTTCTGTCAAAACCCTTTATCTCGGGAACGCGTGGAGGTATCGAGTTAAAATAAACACCATTTACTCAGGTCTGCGGTCCCTTGAAAATGTAAAATAATCAAACTTCTATGCATCAAAAACGCATATTTCGACACTCTCAAGGGAATCAATATTTATAGGATACTTTCCGTTGACCTAGAACTATGAAATTTGGCAAGTAACATCGTCGTATACCACAAGTACAGGGAAGATCTAAAAACTATACTATTGCAATTTTAAATCATAAAAAATATAGTCTTTATTTAAAGCACGTAATCAATCATCCAAATACAATTTCACTTATAAAATCACAATAATATAAGTAATTATACGTTTTGGAAACTGAATTTCAGGATAAGCTCGAAAAACTGCGAGACTCGATTCCAGAACTATTTATAATGTACTTACAAATTTGTACGGAACCCTCGGTGGGCGAGTCTAACGCCCACTTCTCTGGTTTTTTTTTAAATCCATAGTTTTAGAGATTATCGCGTTCAACAAATAATAAATTCGATTCGTAAATTCTTTAATAACAGTCATTATTGTACCGCGCGTATATACCTAGTAAGCAACAGGTTTGTATTCAAATTGGAATCGCTTGACTGGAGGACATTAACATTACATAACATAACTCTTTTCGTAATACTATATTTTGCACATAAAAAAGATCTAAGAAAGACCTAATTAAAAAAATGGCAGCATTAAGACCTGTTGGACTAACTATATTCTCATGTCTTTATTTTAAATCAAGTGTAATGTGTGTCAGTATTTTGACTTAAAAATTAATTATTTAGAACGACAAACAACAGCTTCAGTTGACCCTACCGCCGCAACTCACACGCAAGGAGATCGCAGAGATCAAAAAACACAATCTTGAAGTGCGACAAGAAGTGTACCGCGCGGTTCGACGACCTGGGAGAGGTAACACATGTTTCATTTTATGTTTTATTATCTACACACATGATTCAGCCCCATATATTGCTATATTGTTTTTTACAAAATAACTTTCGAACCTACAGTGTAGTTATACATCTGTTTTGTCACATTTATACCAGCTACAAAGTTTTTCCCTGCTAATATTATTTGTTAATTATCTATGCATTTTACAAACTTAAAATAGAAAAAAATATTATTATGTGATTTGTGTGTATTGTTTATTTGTGACGCTATAGTCCTTTACCTTATAATTATTTATGCCGATTAAAAATGTGAGAATCGCATACAATATCGTAATAAAGGTTATAATTACACTTTACTATAGTGTAAGAATATTCTATTATCAGTCACTGGACCCGACAAACTTTTTTGTTGGACTTTCTGTTATTTTATCATGAATCCTTATCGTTATCATTCATTGTCGAGATAAAAACGCAAGACTCACGCAAGCCATCTCTTAACATTTGCTTTTTGTACTTGCTAAACATATGATTATTGAAGAAAAAGTTTGTTATAAGAACAAAGAACTTCTCTATTATGTAGCGAATTTTAAAACTTGTATTCATTTATTAAATTAAAGATTTGAAACTAAATAATATACATATTATATGTTCAGAACAAAACCCACTTTTGCACAAATTGGTCTGTTCTTTACCAGTAACCAGCGTCTTTCTAATCATAAACTAAGCATACACACTATTTAAGGAAGTACTTAGGCTCAACAGCAACTGATGTGACGAATTATTTGATACTAACATTAAAATTTATCAGATTCGATCATTCGCAAGTACAAATGCCTCAATCGTACAATTAATATCAAGATTATCTATTTAGTGAAAATCCTTTGTCGATATTTACAAAAAGTGTCATAAATGCTGAAAATTATTTTCTTTGATGTCCTTTGTTTGCATGCAATTTTGCATTGGAATGTTATTATTTATAAATGAAACTCTTATTTTTCAGATTTTACGAAACTGTTTGAATCTTTAAAACAATTACAAGGTAGTGTGGAAGTGAAAAAAGAGGTGATACGTGACGTTATAAACGAGTCGTTAAGGTTCAAGCGAAGGGCTCTAGCTAAGTTGTTGGAAGACTTTTTAACGGGTTTAGAGAAAAACGGGAGTAGTGCCTCAATGACTATCAAAAGAAATAATTCGGTGTATATTAACACTAATAATCACAGCTAGTGATGAGTGAGAGCTCGTGGACAAATTAGTGTGAATTTATGGCAATAGACACATAATGTTCAGCAGTTCGATGGAATCAGGAACATATGACTAGTTTATACATAACTGTGGAAGCATGTGTTGTTATGATATTAATTTCTGTATATAATTTATTTAAACTTACCAGCCAGTGTATGTGTTACTCTACTAATTGTATTCCATGTATTGTATTGATATTCCGCCTGATAATAGTAGTCATGTCGTCAGTAGGAAAATAACACGAGATGCAGTGTTTATGATCTCACAGTCTCGACAGTGTGTCACTTTGAGCTATTTAGTATTTGCAGTTACATGTTATAGACTTTTGTTAAGTAACCAATATGAATCTAATTACATTTTAAAACTAAACGAATGTTATGTTATTCTTAAATCATTTTCACATGTTTTCATTTAAGTTTCTAAAGCATTTTCATGTTAACTCTTGCATTACATCCATGTCTTGCTGACTCAAATGTAGAAAAGATGACTTATTGTTCTATCAAGGGACGTGAATATGTTCCCTGGTCAAAACTATTTGTTTTCCTGCCACTTTGTGTCTTACAAGAAGTACTATATATGGGTATATGAAGCAATATTAATTTTGATGTTATGATCACAAATGTGTCTTATTCAAAGTGGCAGTAAAATGGTGAGTTGGTTGTAAATAAAGTTGTACATATTATTAGTATATTATAGTTATTACCAATGGATTGTAAGATTAGATGCTGTCATGCATCAGTCATTGGACTGTTAATGTGGGCGGGTAGGCCGAACAGATGTAGATATTATATTGATAATAATAAATTATCCAGGTATTGCTCATATTATGAAGCGATGGATCCGATGAATTTAAAAAACGCGTTTATATGGAAATTTATTGTGACTATTAATTCCAGTGAAATTTTAATGTTTTACCAGCATAGTTGTGGCGATTGCAAAGTACGGTATCGCACCGTTTTGTGCTCAATTGTACTGTTGCTCGCACAAATAAAAGTATAGTTTATATTAGATGTTTTACCGGAAACTTAGCATCGTTACATACAAATAAGAGAAAACTGTGATACTCAAAATTTTACTCTATCTAATAAAATGGTGGACCCGCCGCATTACAATGAGTTCGGTCAATTGTAAAGTGTAATATATCATTTTATAAATAAATTATGATCCTTATTGGATTTTAATGTTGCGTTTTATTAAATGCTACCCAAATCATAAGAACAACAAACCTACAAATGAAATAATAATTATGGAAGTCATAGAATTGTTATAATATTAATTCAACTAAAGAAAATTGACAAAACTAAGTGATTTACAGCCTTTAGTAGTCCACTACTGGACATTCGCCTCACCTTAGAAAGGAGCTTTTAGCCTACTATACCACTAGTTAGACAGACAAGTTGAGGTTTAGGGTTTTTCTCAAATATTCCTCTTTGCAGTGCTGTTGTCCTGGGTAGTTTACTCCCTTAGTTGGCTCTTACGACACCCACGGCAAAAATCGTGATGTTTTCTTTCATAATAATCCATAAAAATAGTATTATTTCATAATAGTAGTAGATGTAGTGATGAAGAAAATGTCTAAAAATGGACCCAGGCCTTCGGATGTAATATAAACTAAAAACGTAAGCCTAGGAAATTATGAAGACTCCTTTAAAATAAGCACGACTACAATCGATTAAAATGGGACCACCTTGGAGCTATACTGTACCACATGCCAAAAGGATAATTGAAGTCGGTTCTTAAACAAAGAAGTTTATTTATTTTTATTCTTAAGTACACAATATAAACATTTACAGAAAACATACATTAAGGAATAGTGTGCACCGAGGCGAGTCAAACCTATAATTGAGTTCTCTTCGAGCAAACCTAAGAGTGAAGAGAGGTACAGAGAAATTTCAGAAAATAGAAATGTAGAACTGAATATATACAGCAATAGAAATATACACAAAATAATCAAATATGTAAATAAACTAGAATATAACATGAGTTGATACATTATATTCCAATATTAACCATATAAAACATATATACCTAATCCTAAATAAACACATTTATTAGTCTGTTACTGCTGACAAAGAAAATAATCGCTGATTCGTCCCTTAAAAACACTTAAGGATGGGCTATCGCGTATCGAGTGGGGAAGAGAACTCCACAGTCGCACCGCAGACACGGTGAAAGACGTGACAACCGTCTTTCACCGTGTCTGCGGTTGAACTATGAGAAGGAGTTCACAGGAGAAGAGAAGATCAGGTGCGATAAGGTCTACTTCCGGGGACAAAATAGTCAAAGCGCTCACTCAGATACACAGGAAAGGTAGGGTTATAAAGAAACGAATACAGTAAAGAAAGAATATAAACATCTCGACACCGCCGAATGGGTAACCATTTGAGTTGCTTGTGGAATTACGACACATGATCATACTTTCTTAGGCCAAATATAAGCAATGCACAGGTTCTGCAATCGTTCAAGATTATCCCAAAGTTCTTCAGTAGCGTCAAGTTAGTAGACTTTAGCATAACCTAAAGGGGAAAGAAGGGATTGTGAATGACAGATTTTAGTTTGAAAGGGCAGAAAATTTTGAAGGCGCTTCAGGGAATGATAGGTATTAAATAAGGTGGGTGGACCATGGAAGGCCACGCTCCTTTGAAGGCCAACTATTAAAAAGTCGTAGTTATTGACATGTAAAGACATATTCCTTCTACTACACACTACGATCCATCAAACTGTAGGCCACAGACGCGGCGGCGAGTCGCTCGCGCCGCTATTGTGGCAGTGCGATCTCACGCTTCGTAGACTTCGGTCGTCGACGTTACAATTGTTATTCGCGCGCACAACAAAACGTAAGTTTTTAGTTAAATAACCTATTGTTTCCTTATATTTTTGACTGTGAATTGTCGTGTAAGGATATTTTTATGGAACTAAAGAAAAAAAAAAGAAATTGCCTCGATTTAAGTGAAAATATTGGTAGTGTTCCTAGGAAAGCCGGTGGTTCCTTATAAGGCCAATCAAAAATTTGACGGTTGGCCTTGCTAGGGAACATGGGCCTTACATCTATAAACCATGAACATATGAACACTTATTATGTAGTTATAAATACGTACCGTTAAAGTTAAAACAATGTTTTATATTAATAATTTTTTGTGAGGGTTTTCTAACTTTTAAACTCAGATTGAATAGACATTTTTTTCAAAATTATTTTATTTTCAGTATATATTTAAATTTACTTTATGTCTATGAAGAGGTTATGTCTGGAAATAAACTAAACTAATTTACATGAAAAGCAACGAATATAAAAAATATTTGCTTGTTAAAAGCGGTAAAGTAAGTATGAGATAAGTTAAAAATTGTATATCTAAGATAGTCTGTCTAAAACTATAATTAAAGCAAAAAAAATATATCAAGAAGTTGGTAATTGAACAGATGATTAAAATTTATACGTATTATTTCAGATTTCAAGAATGTCACAGTCAAAACCTAGAAAAAGAGGTAGTACATGGAACGAAGATAGTTTAAGATTTTAAACATTCCTGACTACAAGACTGACTATGTGCCATGATAAGTTTGTAATAATTACAGTACGTCTGTAGTGTCTATTATTTTATTATAATTAATCTTCTTCTTCTTAGCGTGTCGATGACAATTCAAATTGAGTCGGCCCAAAATTTGGCGACGAGTTCGGCACTTTCAGTAGCCTCCATCAGTTCCTGTGATGTGCAAGTAACAGGACAGGCTGGACACGATATCAAGTGCCCCATAGTTTGTGGGGCAAGACCACATTTACACTCCAGGGCAGAGTCATCTATGAATCCCCACCTGAACAGATTTTCTTTGCTTCGGCCTACCTGTGTCCGGAGTCTGTTTAGAGACTTCCAGGTCAGCCATGGCAACTCGTGTCCAGGCGGAAGATTTTCGGCAAGTGGCACAAATGGGTTGGGTAAGGAAACGCTATCTTGCCACAACTTAAGTCTTTCCTTAGAGCGTTCACCAGTGAGCGGGGGTACACACTTTAAAAAGCTGTTGCGGCTTTTCAGCCTTTGCGGTACTATGATGTTATTGTGTAGAGGGTGTCTAGCGTCGGAGACCATTTTGGCTCTTTCACTAGAGCTCGCCACCGCTCTGCGAACTACTGGTGGCGCTATGCCTGCCAGTGGATACAGCATCTGTACCGGGGCGGCTTGAGGCAGCCAGTGATTATCCGGCACGTTTCATTCAGTGCTGTATCCACTAACTTTGCATGGGCTGAACGACCCCACACGGGGCACGCGAATTCACCCGCAGAGAAGGATAGCGCCAACCCAGTAGTCCGCATGACGTCAGGCGAAGCACCCCACTTTGAAGAGACTAGTCGCCGCAAAAGACCATTGCGAGAGTGTACCTTCTGCTTAATGTTATTGCAGTTCTTGCCGAATGTTAGAGACCTGTCCAGAGTAACACCCAGATATTTTGGAAAGTTGCTGTGCTCTATGGATACCCCACTCCAAACGATGTTAAGTTTGCGGCTCGCCTCTCAGTTGCGAAGATGGAATATGCACGACTGCGTTTTGCTCGGATTGGGCTTGAGTGAGTTAGCGTGGTAGTAAGTGGCTAAGTCACCAAGAGCGTTTGACAAAGACACCTCAAACTCTTCAAAGGTGGTGGCTTGGGAGGTAAGGGCAAGGTCGTCTGCATAGAGGAAGCGGAAGGTATGCGGGCTGGATGGTTGGTCATTGGTATAGATATTAAATAAAAGCGGTGCCAAGACACTACCTTGAGGTAGGCCGTTTTTCTGTGCTCTCCAATGACTTTTTTCCGAGAGAAGGTGGACTTGAAATCGGCGGTTGTGGAGAAGTTCTCGGAGTATGCGGATGAAATTTTGATCGTTAACCAAGGTTTCCACCTTCCACAACAGCCTCTCGAGGTTGACTGTATCGTAGGCAGCTGATAGGTCCACGAATACAGCACCAGTGACCATTCCTCTCTCGAAGCCATCTTCAATGTGTTGTACC